CGGCGAGCGGCAGCTACATGGCCAAAACATGACGAACAACAACTGTCATTGTCACATCACAGGTTGAAGCGAGCGGGCGACTGAAGCAGCAAAGGAACAGAGGAGCGATGGAGCGATGGAGCGGAAGAACGCAGAAGACGACTGCCACAGACTCCCCATTCTGATTTCGTATGCGACACATTGCGGCCGCTTCTGCTTCTGCTTTATAGTATCTGGACTTTATAGAAACTGCAACTGCAACTGCAACTTGCAATTCATTAGGCTGCCTGACCATTTTTGGGTGCGCGTGCGCGACCATCCGCATTTGGTGTGTCCGTTGCCAGTGCGACATAATCTTAATCCGCTCGTTAGTTTTATTGATTAGAGAGCAGCGTCTCTATGGCACCGCCAATCTTGTCGACAATGACGACGCTGACAACAACGCGGCGACAACAACGACGACGACGTCGACGACTCTTTGGAGACAACAATTGTCGCCTCAGTGTGCCATATTTGTGCCAGCAACTCGCACAACAATGCCATGTCTAACTAGCCATATAGTATGCCCCGGGGCATGGGTACATGGGACGGGCACGCTGCCTTTGTGCTGCTACTGCTGTTGCCTCGCAACAGTTATGAGCCATAGATATGTGACTCATTTGCCAAACGATTGATGCTGCTCTCTAATTACAACTGACATAATGGTGTCAGAGTGGAAAGGGGGAAGGCCTGGCAAAAAAATTACTTTGCAAACGTAGAAAATTGGAAACGAACTGAGTTATTTACATAACTATCCGATCGCATTTGCATTTGTTCTTAAAAGAGGTGGTGATGTCAGAAGACTAACTAATATCTAAAAATAAAGCACTTAAATGTTTCTATAACTAAGCAGAAGAAGAACTGCTCAGGCTTTATAGCCTGATACTAACTTATGGGATTAGAAGAAGAAACCGTAAATGGTCATCTAAATTAAATAGTCATAATATATTCCCGATTTGTGTTTTGTGATTTCGATTGATATTTTTAATTATTCGAATCACTGTTATCAGTAATGCTCGATCACAAATCGCAAATCGCTACGACATGCTGAAATCGACAATATTTACCTTTTTCCCCCGCAGCAAACACTCACTTATAAAAGTAATCAGACGGTAGAATCTTCGTTGCAGAAAGCATCAAACTTTTGCTCAGAAGAATGCAACTTAACTAAGCTCCTTTCAAAGAATATAAACAAAGCAATCGCTATGTTTTCCTGATCATCAGTTAAAATTTTTCATTTCACTTCTTAAGTTGCTTAGGTGATATATTCTTTAAATGAGAAAGATGCTTCTATTTTGAAGACAAAACCCAGTTGACAAGGTTAATATTAAATACATGCTTACAGTTCCTTGTCGATTAACAGGAAACAGAGTATTATTTTCCCTTATGGGCGTCGCAGTGTCAACTATTTCTTATATGCTTAGTACTCCTATAAAGATATTGAAAATCTTAGGTATATAGTCAGACAAGTGCTACTATTTACAAATATGACCCAGCAACCGAGCGGGTGTTTCAATAGGGACAAGTCTTATTATTTGAGAGTATTGTCGAAAAATAAGGAATGTACTGAAGGCTTTTGTTAGACAGTCTAAGAAAAACAAAAGTTTATAAATGACATTAAATGTTCAAAGAGAGTGGAGAACGAATCCCAGCCAAGATGACTACGAACATCAACAGATAATACACGTTAAGGAAATAAAAGAATTAATGCTCCAAACCTGTCCGTTGACAACATTGGACATTGCAGATCCTGTTGGCATGCCTAATGGCTTAAGAATTTTAATTAGTGGCAAATAAAATAATATTACCTCGGGGGACGACTGAATATTAGAACTTCCGCCCTCTCTGCAGTAAACAATTTGTTATGTTTGGTTACATTTAACGGGCGTATGTCTTGACTTTTAAAAATGATAGATCCGACAACATTTTAGCATGTGATTAATATTAATGTATACAAAAAACTTAATCACTTGCCAAATACCACTATTTTCTTTAGATAATATCACAAATGCTTATCTTTAAATTAGAAGGCACACATTTTTAATCACAGTTAACGCAAATCGCTTAAAGTTTTGAATATCTTAAAAACGAATATATATTTATGAATCAATGCTGTTTTATAAGCTGAGAAAAAACCAAATACGAACAAGAGTTTCACTTTGAACTCTATGTTTTGAAAACAAAACTCTTTAGAGACTCTGACTAAATTCTCATTAGAGTTTGTTAGAAGTTAGTTCAAACGAGTGTCGTTTATAATCTTTTCTTGACAATACAGGAAATGCTTATTGTGCTTCAAATCTCAGTATGGATATCTTCGGCACTACAACACGAATTTGGGGAGGCCGCAGAGATATAAGCTCTAATATTTTTACTAAAAAACTCAAAAGAGTTAAATGCGTGATCCTATAATTTGCTTAATACACTTGAAGAAGTCATAGTAATCCTCGATTTAATGTCAGATTCTAAGCTAAAATGCACTCGTTAATTTTCCTTAATCTAGATTTATTCCAAATCAGTAAAATTTTCATTTAACCGAAATGGAAAAGCGGTTTATTTATTTATTCGTCTAATCCGGCAATTTTCATGTTTAATTAATAATCATCAAAGTACAGATTATATTGAAGTCGACAACGTTGCACATTTTATTTGAAAATCTCTAATTGCAAAAAAATAATTGTAAGCCGATTAGCAAAGCTTTCTGCCAAAGACGCCATTTGGATGGGGTTTTTAAATGATTATCCTCTTTCTGATCGGCTTTCGCATCTTCTTCAACTTAAGTCGATGTATTTTTAAGTCGTTTGAAAGTTTTCTAATGAAGTTAAATATTAGGTTATCCTTTATCCTTCACTCACAGATACCTTTTGCGTGCTTCTAATTAATAAAAAACATGTCCAAGATCGCTGCTGATTGTGGCAGCAATTGGCGCTGGTTTTATTCATTTGTGGCCATAATCAGACATCTACACCTAGCTGGAGGTGCTGCTGGCATATTCATTCCCATTCATTTGGAGCGTTGAGCCACCCTTCTCACCCATTTAATGATTGCAGCGTATCAAAAGCGAAACAAAACTGTCAAGTGGCCGACACATGTAGCGGGCGCTTTTTGCTGTGCGATCAGTAGCTGAAATCAGGATCAATGTAAGCCAAAAGGCTAACAGGCTGCTCTTGTCGTCGTCGTTGCCGGTATCGGATCGCCATGGACTGAGCCAAGGCAAGGCACGTCTGCCTTCTCCGCCCGGGACGCCTCGTCTAGATCTGTCGCTGTCAGCATAGTTTGCGGCAATTGCATGTCGCGATCGTCGTCGCAGAAACTTGAAAGCCGCTCGTTGGCAAGCGCTCGAAGCTGACAGCTTGGAATTGTCGCGGACGTCTTGGTTCGTTCGCATTGTCAAGCCGGCGATGCCGATATACAAAAGATGCAACTGTCGTCGCTTGTTGTTGGCTGCCCAGCCTGACAGTTTTTTGTTGTAAGCGCAAAAAATGCGCTTGGGAAACTGCCACTGAGCCGCTTAAATCAAATATTGAAATGCCTGGGGCAGTAGCAGCAGCAACAACAACAACTGCAACAACAGCCTCAGCCGTGAGACTCGACTCGAGCGCTACTTGACCCCCGCATATTTAAGGCCCCGTCGGCTAATTGCCGCACACTTGAACCAAATAATTGCAATAAATCGTTTTTTTCAATTTTCCAGTGTCGTTTTGTTTTGTTTTTACTTTTATTATCGATTGGTAGCGTTGCTCTCGCCTTGCTTTTGCTTTTTTAATACTTTACAAAAAAATGCTTTATGGTATTTTCGCTCGCTAATAACTAATATAAATTAATTAAATGTACCATTTTAGTTATTAACTCTAAGCTTACGCATATTTGAAGGCTAACTAATGCACAAGCACAACCAAATATTCAAAGATTTAAATATTTAAAAAAAAAATGCAACATAGTTCTGTGTATGTTTCCATAAATTTCATAAATTCCAAGCAACAATTTCTGTGCATCTGCGATAGCTTAACCCTATGATTAATTATGCTCATTAATTTATTAAATTACGCTTAATTATGTACAAAATTGTTAAAATAGTTCAGTTAAGATGCGTGGGCGGCAACATGGCGTATGCTTAACGTGCGTTTGTCAATGCGTAACAAGCTTAGTAAGCAGAGCCCAGGGTTGCCACCCCCCGCACTGTCAACAAAAAAATAAACAGCGCCAGCGCATGCGTGGCGCAGCTTTTTGTTGCACGAGGCAGAGCATGAGGAGAGCAATAGAAGGAGAGAGTGAGCTGATTGAGAGAGAGAGAGAGAGTGAGGGAGGGAGAGAGAGAGAGAGAGAGAGAGAGAGAGGGAGAGAGAAAGCGTTAGTAGATATAGGCACGCTTTTTGAATTTCAGTCTTTTTTCCATATACTTGTATGTTTTTTTTTTTTTTTTTTTGTTATTCTCTGTGCTGCTTCAAGTTTCCTTTCTTTGTTTTTTTTTTGTTTGTTAATTTTTGCGCGAAATATTAAAAAATTTGTTACTTAAACCCTAACTAATATTTAAGCTATGAACAGCTTCTAAAATGTACAAAATGTAGTGAGCTGTTTGGCTAGCCTTACAAAACTAAAAACTGGGCAATTATGTTTTCACTTTCCTTTCATCGTCTTCATCTTCGTCTTCGTCTTCCTCCTCTACTTGAGCTAAACCTTCCATGATCTATGTGGGTAATACTGCTAGATAAAAAGTTAATGGTGAGCTGATTGGGTGAATGCGGGGACGGAACGGGACTGTTGGCTTGGCAAGAGGTTGAGGGCTTAGATGGATGGGTTTGTTGTACGAGTATAGCTAGCCTAGGCTTAAGGCTAAATAACAAAAGTCTAAGCGTAGTAGACAAATACATAACATGCATAAAACACACACACACACACACACTTACACATACAGACAGACACACAAGTACACACATCTACAACTAAGGGGGGTGGGGGTTAGGGGGGACTACCTTAGAGCTAGCTTACAGACACGTATGGATAATCTTCTTCGTTCGACACAGCTTGCACTTGACCTCGCAGCACCAATGGAAGGTGCAGGCGCAGCGCTCGACCACGACGACCTCCTGGGTGCGATAGCCACGGCCGCAGCACATCAGATCGCAGCCGTCGACGCCCAGCGAGGTGTCGTTGCACTGGCGACCATGTGTGCCCAGAATGCCCTGACGCAGGTTCTTCTCGCAGAAGCTCGGCGAGGGCTCCAGATAGACAATGTCCTTGGGACCGGGCGGCTTGTGCTCGGGATTGTGCGGGTTCAATTGGAAGTGGTATCTGTAAGTAGCAGGGAAGAGAATATGGATTAGAGAAATACGTTGGTATTATTTGCAGCCAATTAATTATAGTTAATAGAGATATCCGCAAATAACGTCTATTTTGTTTTTTTTTTACGAAAAAATCATTCACTTTTAGTAACTTTGAGAAAGCGAGGAATTTTCCAATTTGCTTTTCTTAGGATTCTCTATGCATTTACATGACTTCAAAATTTTAATTTTTTATGCATTTTCCTAAAATGTAATGATTCATTTTAAGTTTTCCTTTACAACTTTATATCTAATCACTGTGTGTTGAGGAAAAGTTACAGCTTCAGTTTTATTTTTGATAAAAAAGTTTTTGCTCAAAAATAAAACCCAAGCTGTAATTTTGCTTCAATTTATTTTTTTAAGATGGTTTTTTTTGCCCAAAACTGCTTGATAGAGACTCGTCTTGACTTATAGTTTAAGGATATATATAAATTTTGTCCTTATACCCTACGAAAATGGCAGGGATAATTACTACTCGAGGTTCATTTTTGATCAATAAAATAAAACTTAGAGAACTATCATTATTTTAAAAGTTTTATTTTTAGGACCTAAAAAAAAGGTTATTAGTTCTGAAGTGAAGCTCAAAATTAATCATTATATTGTGAATACAAATTTTAAAAAATCATTATGTTGTAATTTGTATAATAATACTTATAATGGTTACAATCTCTGGAGTTATCAAGTGAATCGAATTTTTCTCTATCAATAACTTTAAATCCTTTTTATAATCCAAATCAAAATAGTGCAAGGCTCAAAAATAATGATTATTAGTTAAGTTGTAAGATTAATCATTATATTGTATATTATTTAAAAATACAATCATTACAATCTCTGGAGATATCAAGGCAATAAAATTGTTTTCTATCGACAACTCAACCATTTTTATAATCTAAAACGATTTAGCGCAAATCTTTCAAGAACGTTTTCCAATAACAAACAATCGAGCTCTGCTTTATAACTAAGTTTTCAACGTACCTATTGTGCTTCTTTCCCTGGCGACGACCATTCCGTGCTCGGGCACCGGCCACTGGCAAGCTGTTGGGCGAAGGCATGTTCGGATGATGCTTGTTGCTCAGCAACAGCTCCGGCATGTGATCGTTGAGCATGCGTTCGTCCTCGAACCCGCTGACTACCGGTGGGAGTCCGTTGCCGCCGCCCACGGCATTGCCGCCCGCTGCATTGGGACTGACTACGGCGACGGCGTTGCTGCTCTGGCGCAGGCTGTTGCTGACCTGGACGCGTGTAGCGCCATCGAAGCGGGCCTTGAGGTTGTCGCCAATCACACGGAAGTTGGCCAAACGCATCCAGCACGTCTTCACCGTGCATGAGCCGGACATGCCGTGGCATTTGCACTCTTGACGCATCTCCGACTGCACATGCTGCAAGTTGAAAGAAAGAGGGGGGATGGGAAACCATTCATTAGTATGACTTTATTAGGTTGGCTGACTGGCTGCCTGCCTGGCTGGCTGGATGGCTAGCTGGATGGCAATATGTTTTTCACTTAATTATTTTGCCGTTTTTTGCTGCTGTCGGATGGCTGGCTGGCTGGTTGGTTAGTTGGTTGGTTGGTTGTTGGCCCGCCTGCCACGTTGTTGCAGTTATTAAAAATCAATAAATGTTGCAACTTGCTGTGCGCATGTTGCATGTTCCTGTATGTACACCACATACATATATGTACGTGTGTGTGTGAGTGCCTTGTAATTGTGCTGCAAAGCACAGACCGATCCAAAAGTAAGAAATCAACGCAGTTGGGGGCCCACCACACAGTACGCGCCATGCGCATGGAGCCCATAACAAGTAATAAAATAATAACACAGATGGTGGGCTCGATTTGGCGCTGGAGCTCAAGCCGGAGAAGTGGAAGGCACAGGCACAGGCAACGGGCACACACCAACTACTTTTGGTTAACGGGCCCGTAGTGGTCTAGGCTTTGATGCACAGCGCGCTACTTTCTACGCCCCACACACTCCGTTTAAAGGCGGCGACTGAGTGAACGCAGTCAGGCGGCAGAGGAGCAGGAAGATGCACAGTGGGAGTAATTTAGATAATGAGGCCAAATGGTTGTTAATGTGGGAAACCACACGATGAAGTTATTTCAATCATCAAATCAATGCGACGTCTTTAATAACATATAGAGTTCACATTGGAATCATAGAGTATGATTGATCGCTTTGAAAGTTAGTACTTGAAATAATGCAATGAAGTTATTTAGGATGAAGTTATTTAAGAATCAATTCAATGTGAATTAATAACTTATAGAGTTCATATTGGAATCGTACTCTCTTGATCGTTTTAAGAGTTAGTATTTGAAAGACTGTCATACATTCGAATCGAATGATCCCCATTTAATATCAACTAATTGAAGTTTTCAAATGTAAATAGTTTGTCTGTTATTGACACTCATTTTTAAATGGATAGATTATTTAGTCTACATTCAGTCTCAACTACCATTGTGGCATCCATTGGTGGACCTAACGCGTTTAGCATTCTTTCACATGAGTTATTGGTAAATAATCTAATTAATTTCACTGACAGCACAATATCGAAATCAAACGAAATGCTCGATTGTCTCCATTGTGCGACGTTGGCAGCTGCTTGTGACCACTTTTTTCGTGGCTTTGCGCATGCGCACAGAACTGAGCTGTCAACAGTTTAAAATACGAGCTACAAGAGCGCAAACGAGTGCACACACATGTATATAAGCGAGTGTGTAAGTGTGTATAGATGTCTGTGTGTGTATTGGCAATATTAGGCACGCTTAACAAGTTGAGCTGGCCAAACCAATTGGGGCTACCGCAATTAATGAGACACGGACTGCGGACCACGGACCGTGGGGCGGAAATGTGGCTGACTTTTATTAAGCAACTCATAAATCGGGCTAACCAATCCAACCGAACTAACGACGACAGCCCAGAGAGAAATATGTATGTGAGCGTAGAGACTCTCTAAAGTGTATTACTTACCGCACGACCCGCCTCATTGTTGTGGAGATTCATTTTTTCGCGCAGGTTGCGTCCCCGCTCGCCAGTATCCACGAATTCTCTGGAGAATTTGAAGCCGAAGCCAATGTTATCGGAGCAGCCACCCCACTCCCAATCGCGCACGCCCGCCACACTGCCCGCCTGATGGTTGGCCTGGGGGGAGCGTGTCTGATGGCTGTAGTCGCAGGTGCAGGACTCGATGGTGCCTTCGCTGCAGGCGCGGGCAATCGAATGGGTCACGGCCGCGCTGGTGATCGCATAGATGAAGCCCGTCTCACGGCAGCCTGCAAGAGAGAGAAACAGAGGGGGAGAGAGGGGGAGAAAGAGGTGAGTAAGTGTTGCTTCTGGGTGTCCCCACTTGAGTGGAGGTAGAGCGACCCCCCAAGACAAGATCTCAATCTGCTGCTGAAGTGACCAGCACGGCCAGAGAAGAGTTAACAACAAAAATTGTATTTTTATGAGTAATGGCACTTGTCTTCAAAAGTCTGGTCAATTATGACACTTCAAGTTATCAATGCCCGAGCAACACGGAGCAGTTGCTGCTGTCTCTGGCTGGCTGGCTGGCTGGCTGCCTGCCTGCCTGCCTGCCTGACACAGATTAAACGCTCAACTATAAATTCCATCTTAACACTTTGCGCTTGACGATGATCTAAATAAAAATGTGCGGCCACCGTCGTTGTAGACACGCTCGAGTGCTGTTGCTGTTGCTGTTGACTTTGTTGCTGTTGTTGTACAAACTTAATTTTATTTTTAGTTGTTGCTCTGCCGCTTCTGCTGCTTCAGCTTCTGCTGCTTCTTTTGAAAGGCCATCACAGATAAAGAAACAATGAAAATTGAATTTACATGTTGCAGATAATTTTTCAAGTGGTCGCTCGTTCGTTGTCCGTCGTCTGCCCGACCTGAGCGAGATAGATAATGCCTGACTATGACACATGGAGGAGTTGCTCACAATTCTCGTACTCGTACTCGTACTCGTACGCTATGCTGACTTATGGTTATGACAGTGAGGCAGTCGGCCAGTCAAACAGTCAAACAGTCAGTCACTGGAAACCGTCTTTGGTTTGAAACTTGGCTAAGGTCTGTTTAGGTATGTATGTGTGGTGCTGATTGATGTGTGTTTGATTGACTTGGCGCTGCCTGTGGCTGTTGATTGACACACAGCGCATAAAGACAACTTCCGCCTAATTTTGCCGCTTTGATTTTTCTTAATTTCCCGGAATTCTCCTATGCTACAATTTTTCCCAAATTTCCAGTTAATTGCTGTTTGTTTGCTCTTGGCTTGCTATTGCTTTACTCTCCTCGTTTTTGGCGCGCTGTAAATAATTTCACGTAGAAGCAAAACATTCAGGTAAATATAGCCTCTCGTCGCCTCTCGACTGGTGCTGTGATGTTTGGTGTCTGATAAGGCACTGACTGTGTCAGGCCTTAGGCCAGGCCAGGCCAAGCCGGCCCAGGGCAGGCGACAAACGATCGCGACGCATGCGCAAAAGGCGGGGGAGTGACAAACCGACTGACGAACTGACTTTGGTGATTAGCTTAACAAGAATTCGCGTTACATGACGTTTTCATTTGCTTTCTTTCAGACACGGTTATACAAATACTTAATATTATTATTATTTTTTGTTTTTTGTGGTTACTGGCTGTGTAAATAGTTCGCCAAAGGTTTCGCGGAACATCAGACAAAAGGCAATAAAAAATAAAAAAATAAAGCAAGGCAATTAAAGTGAAAGAAATGCGCCAAGTGAGTCGTCAAAGTTTCTTCTTTTGGGTGTGTCCCTTTCCTTTCCTCCGTTCCCCCCTTTTTTCTGTTGTTATTGTATTGTAGGAGGAGGCATTATTAAACTGCCTGCTTTTTTTGTTCACAATACACAATCTACTGCAAACAAATGTCAGCGTATTTTGACAATTACTCAGAGTTGCTCACAAAGTGCAGCGCACAGCTCGATGTGGCAACGCCTACACCTGAATGTCTGTATGAGCACTCGTACTCATATGTTTGAATGTATGAACCTGTGTAATCCGAGAAGTTTTTGCGTAATTGCCAGAGCCAAACGGATTTCCGTTGGTAGTGGGCGTGCCGCCTGCGCTTTATAAAAATTAAATAAGCAGTTGTCGAAATTGAGAGCAAAGGCTCAAGATTTGCTGCCTAGGTAGCCGGCTGGCCAACAGCGACTGAAGGATCTGTATCTGCGCCTAAGCTGCTTACGAGCAAACGTTTAAGATATTCAAGATTAGGCAGCAGCGTGCTAAGCCACAGATAGAGATACACAGATACTCAGTGCCTCAATGCCTCTTCTCGGAATAGTTTAGACATTGATATAAAACCAAAGAAGAGGCTACGCAGTCAGGGGGCGCATTCGTCATGCGCAAGACGTTCATGATTAGACAGCAAAAAAAAAAAAAAAGATGGGAAAAAAGGAGCTGACAACAATGTGCCTGGCAAGTCAAAAAGGTATGCAATGAGTGCGAGTCCTAATAGACGAGAGCAGCCTGTTAAAGCGTGCAAAAAGTCTGCGAAAAGATTCTGCCTCTGCCACCGTCTGCGTCTTGGCGTGGCAAATCGACAAGGTGTCACCAATTAGAAAACAAGTTAGTTGACTTAATTTGTTAGGCAGCCAGCCGGGCAGGCTAGGAGGAAAAGGCAGCGGGCGTTCCAGGCCCGAAAAAAGGCTGTATCCCGCTGACTGCTGTCATAAAAGGCTATCCAACCCCTAACCCCTAAGCAGAGCCCGTAAGGTCCACTGCGAGGCAGTCTCTCATGAATGATTGTTGTCGCACAGTTTGAGCAGCACTGACAACCCCAAGTGTTAATGGGTCTGTGTCTCTTCTGTCTCTCTATCCCTAGCTACCTCTCTACCACTCAGTCTGTCAGTCCGTCAGTCCGTCAGTCTGTCAGTCTGTCGCTCTGTCACTCTGTAGTAGGCAGTAGGTGTTAATTAATGTTAAGTAGAAAGCAGGCAGTCACATAAATTTTAATGTGGCCACACATAAAAATGTTCAGCAAGCGATGAAAGTGCTGCGATAAAAAGCTATCAGCTCTTGAGTGCGCCAGCAATATACACTGTATGTACATATACTTGTATAGAAAAAGGATCGTTGGTTGCCTGTTGATAAGAGCTGTGCAGACAGGCTATAAGGTCGGTCATAAAGTCAGCTGTCGACAGACGCTTCTGCCAAACAATTGAAAATTGACATCAAGAGCCGGAGTGAGAGTCGAAGTCGGAGTAGGAGTCGGAGTCGCGCATTTTTATGAGCGAGTCGCACGCGTCGCACGCCCACCATATGCTGCACATGCGCCTAGAAACAGGTAGCATCTCTGCTCACCAGTCAGTAGCTAATAAAACTGCGTGACATTCTCTGCAAAAATTCATATGAAAACTGCATAAAGAAACAGCTTGAGGCGAGAGGACAGCCTCTGGCTGTTTACATTTATATGAAAATTATTGTTGACAAGAGCAGCAACAAGAATGGCTGACTGCTGGCCACGAGGGAACAAAGTGTTGCTCAGCTGACGGCGCTCTGGGATTTGCCACCGTTGTCAAACTGTCAGCGTGTGCGGCCATCAATGCAACTTGCCACTTGCCACTTGCCACTTGCCTCCTGCCTCTGGCCACTTGCAACACAAACACAAACACTTTTGATTGATTTGAATTGCTTGCTGACTGCCAACTTTTGTGCAATTAGCATGAGCATGCGATGATGAAATGCAAGTGGAGCAACAAAGCAACAAAGCAACAAAGAACCAGCATTGTTGTTGACTGCTTCAGCTATGCCCAAGAATGGCCGCAGAATTGTGCAGCGAAAGTGCAGCACATGTGGCTGCAACAGTCCCATTCAACGTTGCAGAGTTAGGTAAGTGAGTAAGTAGCTCTAGTTGCACAAACAACTCAGCTCACATTACAACAAACAGTTGCCTCTTTGACATTTCAAGCATCAATTTCATTACTAACCAGCAGCACCAATTTGTGGATGGGCGTTAACAACAAAAACAACAACAGCAACAGCAACAACAACTCGAGTACATACTTTAGTTTTCACTGCCACACGCAGCCCCTAAAAGCTACTCAAATTACAGGCTGTGGGAAATGTTCCCTCACAGAAGACGTTTTCATTCAACATATTCTAACACAATTTCTGATCAAACTTATTTAAAAAACGTGCAAAAAAAACTTACAAAAATGATTTGAAAGATTTAAGTTTTAAAAAAGGTTTTATTAATTTTAGTTTCGGTTGAAGGCTTCAAGCATAATTTGCCAAAATGAATGGGAAATCTTTTAAACGAATATTTATAACTTCTTTAATGTATTAGTAGTTCATCTAATAATAATAATACTCGATTGTTATCCCTAAGTATTGTATTTTAACAGCAAAAGAACTGAGATTGCTATAAAATTATTATATGATGATAATTTTATATATATAATCTCCTCCAACATCTACTTTTATAAAGCAATCTGTCGATAATTGTAATAATCTCTTGAAAAAGATTGGAAGAAAAGGAATCGCAAATTCATGATAAATACTTTTGTATGATATTCATTTTATCATTCAATGATTCATTGATGGTGGGTGTTGCAAATCCTTTTATATATTTTTAACTAAGCTCTGTTCATGACACAATTCTATAATCTAAATATAAAGCTCATTCATTTGAGTAACTGACTATTGCTACCATTACTGAATATATTTTTGTTTTACTATCCGCATAAAAAAATCCAAAATTATTTTTCAAATAAAATGGGGCAAATTTTTAATTAAAGATCACTTTTTTTTACTTTTAATTCAAAAAGAATGGAAAAACTGGCTACGCTTCTTCATCATCACTTAATGATATATTACAGAATTACATTCTCATTTTAATCCCTCCCTCATCACAATTCTAAACTTACCACGATCGACAATTTTGCCAAAGAGATTCTTGCCGCGCAGAAAATTGCGAGTCGAGCAGTTCCAGCGGCGATTCCGAAACTGATGCTGGCACTCGCTTATGGCCAGATTGGCTCCCTTGACGAGGGCGCCCAGCACGCCGGGATTGTCGCGCACCAGGCGACGTTGCTTGCGACGCAGGGTGGAGTGAATGGCCGGATCCATGTACATAAAGCCGGTGCTTATGGGCGATATGTTGTTGGGTTCACCAACTTTGGCAATGCCCCTGCAAATGCGTAGAGAAAAAAAGGGAGGGGTATTAATGGAGCAATCTTCGAAATGAAATGGGACGCTGTCAAAACTATTTAATGCTTGGCTAGGTTTTTGCGCCTAATTAGAGCGATCGGCCACACGCACAACAATAATTACAACAACAAACATACAAGCACACACACACACACACTCACGTACAAGCGCTTACTTTAAACATTTTCATTATGATTGTTTCATCTATTTTTTTGTAGTTTTTTTTTGGCATTATGTTTTTCCACTTGACTTGAGTTTTCAGTTGTTGGCTTTGCGTTTTTCACTTGCGGCTTTTTTGTTGTTCTTTCTTCTTTTTTTGTTTTTGTTGTTGCTGTTGCTGTTACGACGTCAATTGCCGGCGTTACTCATGCATGCACATGTGAGTGACACACACACTCACACACACACACACACTGCCGAGCATTTGGATATACAAATATTTGTCGACACTTGTCGGCGTTCAGGCTCTCATCTTTGCCCTAGCCCATTTTAGTTGTTGTTGTTGCTGTTGCTATTGTATGTGAAACGTATAGCTATATGTGTATGCGTGTATATACATACATATATATATATACATATATTTTCTTGGCTGCAATGTTTGAAAATTGTCAGGTGGCCCGAAAACCGCACAATGTTTCCTTTTGTGCCCCTTGAAATATTTTTCCACGCTCTTTTTGTTGGCGTTGTTGTTGCTGCTGCTTTTGTTGTTGTTGTTGTAACAACTTGTTTTAAGCGTGTGCTACAATAACAACAATAATAAATAAATAACAGCGCATAAACAAATGTGTATCGACAGCTCGCCATGCAAATTAATTTGCAACTGAATTGCCGTTGATTGTTGTGGGAACAAAATTGTTAAACAATTGCGCTTCGTTATGAGTGGTGCCGTAATGTGTTTTGTAACAGTTTTTAATGTATGCAATAATATTGAGCAGCAACAAATTGACGCAAAAAAAATTTAAAAAAATACAGTACAGTTAAATAAACTGAGAATTTCCAAAAATATTGTGTGCTTGTCTGATCTAGTGTCGTATCAACACATTACATAAATCACTCAAAAACTTAAAAAAAACGTACTAAACTAAGCAGATACATCATTGGTAATATAAAATTAACTTTGATTTTAATTTGAAATCATTTCAAAACCGGAATCACCTGACTAATTGAAAAGTTTGTTGAAGATGTGATTAAAATATTAAGAAACCATTCAATACATTTTGCAATATACACTTTATGAATTCTTTTTAGCATGAATCCTATGCATTTATGCTAGAGTCCCTTTGATATTACGCTTCAGAATCACATTTAAATAATTTTAATTTTATATTTGTTTAAGATACTTGATCTGGAAATATGAAATCTCTTCTGTTTTCAAATGTTTACCCTGAAATACTTTATTTCTTGCGCACTAAACTAATACAATAAAATATAATTTGAAACGAAAGCGAAAATACCAGAAATGTGCATCAATTTCTTATTTATATTTTAAGTTCTCATTTGAGTTAACCTTATAATCAAAAAGAGTTATCATGAAATAATTGAAACAACTAAATTATGAATGTCAAAATGTCGAACTCTACATCAAAATTTGTTTCACATTTAACAACATGAATTTAACTTTAGTGAACACAAGCAAGCGGAGCACATTTAAAATTTTATTGATTCGCGGCGATCCCATTTAGGCAGTATTCGCTGCCTTTGCAATGTTAATTGTAACAACGATTTTATAAATGTACAAATTTTGATGCTGTTTGCCGCCGGCCGTTTATAACTGCCCACAAGTTTTGCGCACACAATATCGGTGGCATTGCCATTATCGATTCCCAGGCGGATTAAATCAGGGCGCAAGATTTATGCGACGGCAGATACGCGCGCAGGCAGACAGGCAGGCAACCAAATAATTTCAACATTTTCTGTTCATTTGCTGTTATTGCTTGTTGTTGTTGCTGTTGTTGTTGCACTTCATTCAATTTAATGTGGCATGGCCAAAATTTATGCCGTTATAAAATGTTATTCAGCTTAGGAACAAGAACATAAAATGCTTGAAACAGCATCAAAAAAAAGGACTGCAACTTTTTCATCTGAAACAGAAAAACAAAACAAAAGACTTAAGCAACGAACTTGATGGTGAGGCCACAAGCTGCGGTAGAGCGAAGAACCGAAGCTTTGCCGCTGCATGGCCACTGCTAACTGTAACTGTGTCACACACACACACACATGCTAACACACTAGATTGTATTCTTCAAGTATGTGTGTGTGTGTGTGTAAAGTAAAAGCTGTTGCCGGCGCGCGTTTAGAATTTTTAATTACTTTCAAAATGCGTCGGACAGTCTGCGGCATAAAAGCTTTCGTATGTGCATATGTGTGTGTGTGTGTGTGTTGCAGCTTCCGCATTGTGCGTGACGCACAACAACAACAACAAGAACAGCATTAACAAATTAAAAGCCAAGACCTTTGGCAACTCGAACTCGAGTTTTGTGGGAAAATTAGTGGACGTCTTTATGCGCGTCGCCTTCCTCATTCCCATTGCCTTAATATTATTATTGTTTTGCTTTTTTGTGGCTTTCTTTTCATCTGCTTTCTTTGTTGCTTCTCAGGGCTGCGCTTTTCGGTTAACTCATTTGGTTTGTTTGGCGCGTGCGCGCCCGTAAGGTTGCAAGTTTGTTTGTTTGTCTGATCTGATCTCAAGTTCGGGCCGCTTGTTTGCGCTTCTTCTTCTCATGCCCGCGCTAATTGCTTGATTTTGAATTTGTTTATGCAAATGTGGCGTGGGTGTGTAAACTGTTGCTGCTCTTATTGACTCTCATTCTTTATGCTCAATGTTACGCGCATGTCACGGCCAAGTGCAATTGTCACTAAGTATCTTGCCCTTTCCCCGCTTCCCTCTTCACAGTTAAATTTGGCAACACTTTTGCTTTCAACTTACCACCACATAGAGCCTCGCCCCCTGCCCGACTTCTGTTTGCTTTCGGCGGCGCTGCAAAGCGCCAACAAACATAAGCACAGCATATAGCTTAAATCCATGGTTTTGTTTTTGGTCGTTTTTTTTTTGTTTTTGTTCAGTTTTCACACAAATATTGGTGCACTACCAAAAATAAAAATCAACTGTAGCTGAATTTATGTTTTGGCTTTGGTTAAACTTTTTTAATCGCTTTTTGTTTGTTTAGACTTGTTGGCTACTTTTGCATAACTTTTTGTGTAAATATATTTGAAAATATCGCTGTGATTTTTATAGCAATTTCACGTTCAATTAGCGCACTATAAATTAGACATAATCATCGTTGGCAGGCGCATTGGGAACTTCTGATTTTTATGATGGGGGCAAGCAGCATTTTTCATAAATCATATTCGTGCGTGTGTTTCTCTTTCCTCTATTGTTAAACTTTATATTTGGTTTACTTTTTTATGGACACTCTAATTGTTGAATTGAATTTCTCACTTTGAACAATTTTAGTTGGTTATTGTCGTCAGTTATGATTTCGTTTTATGAATGAACACTCGCATTGCTTTATAACATTTGTATTTTGTGATGTGATTTTCTGCGCGAGTCTTCATATAGTATCTTTCGATGTCGAAAAGACTACGACGACAGGCGACGGGAGTGAAAGATTGTTACCCGGTTCAGTGCCAACACTTAACTGAAACACACAGCGCGTTCTTTTGCCTGCCTCTGCCTGCCTACGCTGCCTGCCGCTGCTCGTCGTCGTCGTCGTCGTCGTCGATGTCGATGTCGTTGTCGTCGACTTCACATCGACATCGTGAACGTCGTGCGTTTTGTCTTCGTCTTCGTGCATTGCTGCTATTGTTGTTGTTCTTGTTGTTGCTGTTGCTGTTGCTGTTGCCTTTGTTGCTGCTCTTCACGATCGCTTAAGCGAATAGAGGAGGAGCATTACCACATTGAGCGCATTTTGCGTGTGTATGAGCAGCACAGCTAGCTGTGCGGCAAGTAAACTGGCAGCTGCTTCGCACACACACTCACAAATTGTATGTGTGTGTTCGATCGTCGTATATAGCGGCTTGCGCACCAGGTGCCCAATAGGAAATGGCGGCGCTGCCGTTCAGCACCTCGTCGCTTGCACTCTGAGTACATAACTATGCGTGTAACACATACTTGTAGCTGTGTCTGTGTGCGTAATTATTTTAGTCATATTTCATGCATTGTATAAACTTGGCTTACAATTAGCACGCGGCAATTTCCTAACTATAGTAAGTGTTGGTTTATTTACTTCGCCAAATTTGTGATATAAAATCGAAATAGTTGTTTAATTTTATGATTATTAACTGCAAATTCAGAAATTATTCATTTCTTATTCTGCTTTGTTATCATAATTTGTTTGGTAACATACAGAAATTCTATTTTTTTGAAGCATTTGCAATATAAGTACATACATTTAAAAGGTTTTTGAATGAATTGTGATCATCTTTTGGAAAGTTCACAACAAATACATGCGCAAAGTTTGAGTAGCAGGAACATTTTTAATAATTTAAAATGTTTGAAAAGGGATTTCAAGCTTCATTTGAACAATTTATTTGATTATAGCGCACAAGTATACGATAACTTCCATATTCTATGTCGCATTCTCAGATATTTATTATTATTATGTACAAATATCATCTCCATTATAAACATCTGCAGGATAATCTCAACTTGGCGTACTTCTTGCACCTCATTTTTTTTTAGTTTGACGACAAAAAAGTAAATAAATTGAAATAAATTCTTATGATTGTCACAAAGCTTCTATAAATTGAAAATGTACTTAATATTTTAAGAATTTCGCCTTTTGATTGAACAAAGTCTTAACAAATAGTTTTTGTAATATCAAATCAGCAAACTATTATCTATATAATGTGCCTTGCTGTTATTAAATAGTTTTATTGATAAGGGGATCATTATAAAGTCTGTATATACTTGATATTTTAAAAGTTATATTACAGAAATCGATTTAGTTTATCTTTAAAGACAGCAGGCATCAACCAAAGCTTAAATTATTAAAATATATAAATTTGGTAATAAAATAAATATATTTAATTAATTTAAACACCAATTTAAATTAGCAAACATTATAAAATTAAGTTTAATCTACCTGTATAAGAAATCGTTTGCGCAACAGTCCGTAATCCTTCTTTTAAGAATAAATATTTTTGCTAGAAATATTATTATTAGTAATTTTTTATGTTATATTTTTATGATCATGTTGACTTAAAATATAGCTAATATTTGTATCCACTTTTTTTAAAAATATTATAAGCAATCTGATTATTTTTCGTAATTCTTTTTTAAGACTTCGGTTATTTTTAATTTTAACATTATTTATTAAATTTATTAAATTAAAAAATATATATTTGCTCGTTTTTGAATGCATTTACTGCGCGCCACAAACAAGTTTTTCCACACACACACACACACATACTCGTGCGTATTCACACAAGCACTTAAGCCCTGCCAAGCAATTCGGAGTGAATTGCTTCGGAGTAAGCCGGCCTATGTACAACTTACTCACATACACAAACAAATGCACTCTGCTGGTGCTGTTGTTGTTGTTCTCTCTTCTGCTGCTGCAGTCGCCGCCTGAGCTGCTGGCCATGGATATGAATGTGGATATGGCTGTGGCTCTGGCTCTGGGCAACTAATTGGACAGCACATTCATATATTTTGGGCATGCGCGCGCCCGCTCCCACCACATAGACAGACTTGGACACTCACACACACACACGCACACATCAAGTATATTGCCATTGCATTCTAGGCCCCATAGAGGCATTCGGAATGTTCAGCTTCCTCTTCCTCATTGCAGGCGCTTCATGGAATGAGATGAGATGAGCTGAGCCGAGTCGCTGTTTGCCGCTTAAGTAGGCGTTTTTGTTGCTGCCATTTGCAATGAATTAAATGTATTTTTAAGGATTATGTCAGTCCATTAATGGGCCATTATTTCGGGGCTTATGTGCGGCGAGAATTGTCATTAAATCGAGCGCAACGGCGGCACAAAATGGCGCTGTTCTGAGGCACAGTTTGAAGACATCCTGTGCAAATATTGGCACAGCCCTCTTGGTGGCCTCTGAGCGTGCGCAAAAGAGTTAGGAAACGGCCCCGGCTGCAACCAAACAGTATGCCCGAAATATACATATATTTGCTTAGGTCTGGGCCTAGGCCTTAGGCCTGGTGTGAGTCTGAGACGACGACGAGCAGTGCCAGGCTGAAAATTAGCGAGTTCTTATTAATTTTATTGCTGCGGAAAATCCAAATGATGAGACACAGCCACACAGCCACACAGCAATGAAAGCAGTAAGCAATTGAGAAGCGGAATGCACGGCAGTCGTGTAAACAAATCATAAAATGCCGAGTAGCATGAATACGATCAGTTGGTGTGTTGTTGTTATTGTTGTAGCCTTAGGTAGTCCAAGACCTGGCTCATAAAAGCGCGAGTTGTGAAGCTGGATGAGTAATGCATGTAAATAATCGTATATACACGCATGTACACTTATCGAAAAGATAGGTTTGAATTGAGAAGAAGATTTCTGAATGGTAATAAGTATAACAAAATTAAATAACATTTACCAAAAACTCTTTTTTTTCTTAAAAAAGGATGTAAATTTCTTTGAAATAAGTATCTTTTAATCAAACAGGTATGTCTTTTGAACTTCTCTGAGTGTAAAACGCATTTGCCCTGAGTGCCGGAGCATGCGTTGAATGTCTTTATTCCAGTCTTATTTGGCCAACAACTAGACGTGGCGAATCTGGCCCACAGAATTGTTGTCACCTTGTTGACCTTCGCGCATAGACCAATCGATCAAAAATGTATCTGGACAAGGTCATAAGCAGCTGTGGCCGTAACAACCAACAAATAAGAGTAACACCAACAGCCACAACAAGGCGAACAAAGCAAAAACACAGCGCCCACAGCAATGTGAGGCGTTGTTGACAACCCCCCGAGGGCCGACAACGACCTTGAGTCGACCATTAAACAACGGACGGTGAGTTTTGTGAGTTTGTGGTGCCTGTTTGTACCAAACAGCAGCCAACATGCGGCTAAGGCGAGTGTCCTTGAGCGACAAATCGATTGCCAGGGCGCAGCATTCCGTAATATAACTGAACAGAAGGTCAAACTTTGGTCAACCAGGGCCATAGAGGCGCAACAAAAAAGCGCTTCAAATTGCAGGTGATTATTAAATTATGCGTTGCAACAAGTCGCAAAGTCAAGTTAGGCGGTTGGCAAATGCCTGAGGGAGTTGACGGGACTCCGTGGCCCTCCAGCACGCATCGCAGCAGCAGCAACAGTGTTAAAGTGTAAAATAGCAGCTCATAATTGCAAATAATCGCCGGGCAGCATGCGAAGCGCAACTAAAATGCTGTAGTCCTTACAGGCAGGACAGGACGGGACGGGACAGGACTGGAATGTACTGGCCTGGGCAGGGCAGACAGGCGTGCCAAGTCACACACTCTCTATGTGTGTGTGTGTGTGTGTGTGTGTTTCTCTCTAATCAGCTACAATCGAAATTTATATGGTCTGCAATCATTTGGCATCATTTGCAACTGCGCTCCATGAAGTTGTCAACAGTTGCATTCGACACGCTGTCCGCTCCGCACTCTTCCCTTCAGTTCCCTTCCAGAGGGTCAGCAGCAGCAGCAGCAGCAGCAGCAGCGTGAGTGCTGTCCTGTCTCTTGCAGGGTGTGAAAATTGCTTCCAAATAAAAATTTGCAACACGCACACAAGGTGTCCCTCTCCGAGTCCCTATCCCTCCAAACCATGTTTGTTGTGCTTTGTGTATGTTTTCATGCTCTTTCTGCTAATGCGGCGTGCAAAAAATTCAGCTTCATAGTTCCGCTACGCCTCGATCATCATCGGCAGCAGCATCATCGCCATCGTCATCGTCTTGCCAACTGCTGGGCCTTCGCCGATCATTGCTGCGATCATGCCCTGCTCGCGCTCAATATATCTACCTCCCTAGCCTCCCCTGTACGCTGTACGCTGTACGATGCTGCCGTTGCCATTTAGCGAGCGTGTCGTGTCTTTGTTGCTGCAATT